TTGTCCAATATTTGTTGTGACCTCTTCGTCATCTCTGTGTCTGTGAGTTCGACCACCGCCAATGAAGACTGTCTGGCGGATTCTGCGGTACCATTCCCAAACAGGGGCAACTTTTCCGTGCCACGAGCCGCCGTGAGCTGCCATTCAAACCTAGGGCAACTTTCCGTTGCCTCCCACCCCCTTTAAACAGGGGCAATTTCCTTATTGCCTCCGATCGAGGTGCGCATCTCGAAGGGTAGTCTCTATGCTCCTCCTGTTAGAGCATCAGCTGTTGAAAATAGTTTTTGAAGACTTTTTACTGATAGGACATTTCTCGAAACTATTCCATTTTCCAAAATGCCGACCATTGTCTTGGACCCAAAAAGGGAAAATTTTCAGTGCTTGCTGCCTGACTTGCACGGTTTTCATCAAAAATCGAACAAGTAGTTAATCCGACTCTCATTTTGATCAAAGTTTTAGTAGAAAAGCAAAAACAAAAATGGTTAAATGATAACTAGGGGCACAGTTGAGCCAAGCGTTCTGTCTTTCCCCCGTCACCGACGTCCTTGCCAGAAGAGCACTCTACCCGCCAGAAGAAATAGCGGTGAGCTAACGGCATCGGGCGTGAACCCGCAACTTCTTGTTCATTCATCAGTCACCCCGGGGAGGGATGGAAAATGAGAGATTGAAGAATAGAGAGGTGTAAGTTGAGAGAAAAGTGAGGAAAAGGGTTTTGAGAGAAAATCCGAGCTTGAGAGTCGAGTGATGTGAGGATCACAAATCAGAAAGGGTGGGAAACAATACCCAGATTGAACTAGCTCCTTGTGGTCCGAGGTCCCCCATCTTCGCTAAAGCGTCTGCGTGTCGTGTCCTTTTGATTTGACAGTCTCGTCTTTTGTTTTTAGTCTTTTCCGAGCATGTCTCGTTGTGTTTAGGTCGTGTACCTATATTTGAGTCCTCCCTACTGTGTTCAGTTGTAGGCTCGATGTCCCGGTTTGAAAAACCCTCATTCGATTTCAAAAATCATTTATGCTCAGAATGCTGTGCCATTCTCCACATTTGAATGTGTTTCGACTCCAACCGGTTCCATCTTTGAGGTCCGTCCTGTCAAATTGGGCTGTTTGTTTGAGAATTGCCGTGTGCAGAATGAATCGAATGTTGTGTTATGGGCAGTATGCAGATTAATCCCCAGTAGAGCAAGGGCTGTGTGTCCAGAATCAGGCAGTGGGTTGCTTGGGTGTATTTTGCTGTTGGCTGTTTAAGTTATCTGATTATTACAGTGCAAGTGTTTAACTTCCAGACAACCAATCAATTTCATTTACATTGAGGTGTAATATGATGAGATGCGATGCAATGCATGAAATGTGTCAATGTAAACACTTTTTCAGATAAAAAGTCCGTTTCATTTCATTATCTTTTCAAATGTACAAGTTTTGGAAACAAAATCTGCCTGCGGCAGTACAAGGTAATCTATCTACCAACAAAAAGAAAAGTACAAGAAAGAAAGAAAAGATAGCAAAAATCTGCATCTATGTCCAACGACTCCGAGGGGCCGTCAGTCCGTCCTAGTCCTCTTCCTTGACGAGGGTCCAGGAGCATCATCAGCGTCGTCATCGGAGCCCGAGCTAGAACCGTCTCCGGTCTCCTCCTCCGATGACTCTGCCTCTGCCTCTGACTCCTCGTCGTCGTCATCGTCTGGGACTGGAGCTCGCGAGCTACTCCCGACGTGAGTATGCCCTCCCCTGGTACGGGGAAATATCCTGCCCTCCTCATCTCTCCCCCGAGCAGGGACAGCAGGTCTAGCTGGAGCACCTCCCGCCATGGGAATCTGGAAAGGAGGCTGAAAGAGTACACAAAAGTGAAATGCATCAGTATGCCGTGAGCAGTTTATCAGTGCAGAATGCAGTGTGTGAGTACAGTGTATGAATGCCGTGAGCAGTTTAATAGTGCAGAATGCAGTGTATGAGTACAGTGTAAGAGCGCCGTGGGTAGTTTATCAGTACAGAGTACGGTGCAGAATGCAGTGTATACAGTGTGTCAGATACTGTGAGATCAGTGTATCGGGTGTTGTGCCGTGCATCAGATTATGCAAGTCCGTATATCAATGGTCTCAGGCCAGTGTCAGAAGGACATACCGGTATGCTGTAGACGGCTAGGAGGTCAAATGTCCGCTGGAGCATCCCCATCATCGAGGCATTCATCGCCAACGACTGACGGGTGTACTCAGAAGAAGCCTGCAAAAGTATCAGATGCATCAATATTCTGTGGAATATCAAGTAAACTGAAATGAAATAACTGTACAAAATGCAATGATACATACCGGCGGAAGGTCGGGATGTCAGTGAACTCATGACCATGACCAGCCGGTGGAGGGGCGAAGGGGGATCTGATAGGTCGACCCACCCTGCCCCTGGAAAGTCAGTACAGCAGGCAGGGCAGGCCAGCCAGCTCCTCGTCCTCCCTGCACTCTGCCCCTACCACGGACCCGGGCCCTCCTCAAGGATCTAGCCCCTGCTCCCGCTCCGGCCCCAGCCGCCGATGCTGCAGGCCTGGCCCCCTCTGCTCGACGACCGCTCAAGGGGCGCATCAGGTACGTCCGCACGTACTCTTGATAGTCGCCGGTGCCTCGGAAGCCGGCCTCCTCCCAGCCGATGGAGTAATCATCCAGCTGCTCAGTGGTCAGCCCCTCGGTCTCCCTCATGTCTGCAGGAGGGGGGACCGGGACTATCTGCTCAGGTAACCCGCGGGTCTGGCGTAGAAAACGCTCCCCCAGGTACCAAGCCCGACAGACCGGGCCCTCTAGCAAGATCCGGAAACGCGAGGTCTCCTCAGCACCAGGGAACCGACCCCGCATCGCCGACGGCAAGGAAGCCCATGGCCGCCAAGTGATCTGAAAATGGCAGACAGTTTGTTATCTACTGTTATTGAAATATGCAGTGGGAAAGCGAAGCTAAATAAACTGAAAATAAAACATACCTCGGCCGGGGTGATGGTGTCAAAATATCGACGGAAGAAGCCGAATGTCTCCCGTGGTCGCCGGGTGCATCTCCCGTCGAAGCGACTCGAGAACGGGACAGCCGGAGGAGGCTCCGCGACTGGTACGGGTGCAAGCCTAGGGAAGTAGGCGTAAACCCACAGCTGCAAAACAGATGTCAGCATGACCATCACATAAAGCAGAATATACAGAATGAAGCAGAAATGACAGAGCCATGTGTTGTGCAGTGTATTGTGTGCAGTGTACAGTGTGAGCAGTGTACAGTCAGTGTGAAGCAGAATGTATGTGTGTGCCGTGTGTACAGTATACATCAAGCGTAAAGCAGACCACAGTGTGTGCAGTGTACAGAGTACAGAGAATATCGGACAGAAGTGAAAAGCGGAGAAGAAATGTACCTCCCAAGCTCGCCAGTAGCCTCCGAGGAGCTGGCCGCTGCCGCGAGAAGCAGAGCTCATGTACCCATAGAGAGTGGCCAGAGCAGCGCCACCCCAGTCGTAGTGCAGAATGTCCCGGACGTCCACCAGTGCGCTGAGAAGGCAGAGAGGCACGGTGTTCGCCCGATCGGCGAAGATGGTAGTCCCGAACAGGAACATGAGGAAGCCGCGAGCATACCTCTCCTCGTCCTCCGGGGTCATCTGCACCTCCTCCAAAACGGGTTGGATCCTAAACTGTACCTCGAACCAGGAGTATCGCAGAAAACCTGGACGAGCTAGTGGCGGCGCCTCCCCCAGTAGATAAACCTGAGCAGCGGTCCACTTATCCATGTCGGTGTCGAAAGGGATCGGATCCCCCCTACCCCGATGCCTGTGAGCATCGAGAAGTCATAAGGGGTCATCGTCATGTCCCCTGCAGCAGAAAAGTGGAAAGAATCGGTGGTGTCCCACCACCTCTCCGCCAAAGCAGCAAGAAGAGGTCTGCATGTGGACAACCTAGAGAGCCCTCGGCAGAAGGTGCCGATGCCCGCTCGGTCCACGATGCATTGGACCGCATCAGGGAGCTCATCATACCACTCCCGTGCACCAGTATTCCCATACCCGCGAATGGTATGGGAACCCTCCTACAAACAGAAAATGACAATTGCAAGACAACATTCAAAATGCAGTTTTGAAAGGACAGATATGGCATGTATGCAAGTTTGTCAGATTCAGGCAAATACCGGGTGCCGGTGTGCTTACAGTAAAATACGTGTGCTGTGTCGACGTGTTTGGGTGTTTCAGAACAGATGTGGCATGTGTGCAAGTTTGACAGATTCAGACAAATACTGGGTACCAGTGTGTGTGCAGTGAAATACAGTGTGCGCCGTGTGTTTGGGTAGTTCAGGGCTAGTGTAGTGTGTGTGCATGTGTCAGTCTCAAACAGATATCAGTTGTATGTATGTTTACAGTCAACCACGGTCTATGGTGTATCAGATTTCAGCAGTTAAAGAGTACAACTAACTATGGCAGTTTTGTATCCTACATTGCGGAAAGTAAAGCGGAAAGAAGAGAGTTACCTCGGAAGTGCCGAATGACAAGGAGGAGGCTCGCCGTAGTAGTAGCTCAGCCTAGCGCACCTCTCAAACTCAGGAACTACCCAGCCGTCGGGCAAGAACGGATGCCGCGGTAGCACCGGATCAAACGGCCCCGCCTCATGTAAGAAGCTCGACCCGGATCCATCCTGGCCGGAGTCCCGCCACGGAAGTCGCCCCATGATAAAAGTAAAATGGGCCCGGAACCCAGGAACCGGTCGAATACGAATAGTCACCGAAGTCAACCTGCCAAGGTCGAAATGCCGGGAAACCAAATGTAAGGGCAACGGAAATTATAGAACAAGGGGAACAAACCCGAAAAGCAAGAGCGCCCCACAGCACCGAAACGCAAAATGTGATCGTGGAAAACGTCCGAAGCAACGCGAAAGAAACGCGAATCCGACGACGAAACATCGAGAACGCGAAGAAACGGAAAACGGGGATAAAAACACTCTAGAGAAAAGGCAGGTTTTCGCGGAGAAATGAGGACAAATCAGGGCTGAAGCCCTTTTAATAACACCCAAGTAAAATCAAAACCGCCGCCCGCACACACCGTTGCCGGGGTCGCAAGTTGTGCCGGCGCAACTTTCATGCGA